TCAGTTCTTGGATCAGTACCAAAATATTTTAATTATATGGATTTTTATCTGGTATTAATATCTGATATGGAAAGTCTCAATTATTTACCCTTTCAGAGCTGATCTATTTATGGGATTTATTTTTCTATTTAAACATTGAAATGTATGACATTCCTCAAAATATCTAGCTAGAATTTTGATTGGGTTGTGGTGACATTATATATTAATTTAGGAAAAAGTCACCACTAAAAATACTATCATCCTATTCAAGAGCATAGAATATCTATTCAGTTCTACTTTTAGGTCTTTAACAGAATTAAAAATTTTTCTCTACAGAGATCTTGTGAATGCTTTTTTAATTTCTAGAAACTTCAACTATATAGTTTGTTTCTACTAAGAATGTATGTTATTATTATATCTTCTATTACTATATACAATAGTTACACTATTGTAGAGAAATGCTCTTGATTTTTGATTTTTATACATTTATCCAATGTCTATTTACTTTGCCATACTCTTATTCTCATAATTGATGGACTCTTGTGGGTTTTCTACTCAGGTAATTATATCACCTACAATTACTTTTTTCCCCCTTTGTAATCATTACACTACTTTTTCTTTTTTATAGTATTCACCAGGATCTCCATTAATATGTTAATGGATAATACAATAGTTATCACTATTGTAAAGAAGTGCTCTTGATTTTTTATTTTTATACATTTATCCAATGTCTGTTTACTTTGCCATACTCTTATTCTCATAATTGATGGACTCTTGTGGTTTTTCTATTCAGGTAATTATATCACCTACAATTACTTTTTTTCCCCCTTTTGTAATCATTATACTACTTTTTTCATTTTTATAGTATTCACCGGGGTCTCCATTAATATGTTAAACAATAGAATTTTAGTTCTGAGTTTTTCTGGGTATAATACTTAGAATTTTCTGTTCTTTAATCCTTATCTTTTTCAAGAAACAAAAATTTTTATTTTCTTCCTTATATCTCAGACATCCTCTTTGATTTATTTCTAGTCTTATTTGAGTTCTTCCTCTAGTTTTTCAAAGTAGGTCTATTTTTTGGGGAAATCATCTGAGGCCTTCCTTTCCTCCCTGTATTTTTTAAATTTTGGCTTCACAGTTAAATGAAAATTTGGTTGGATATAAAAACTCTAGGCTTAAAGTGCTTTTCCTTTTAATATTAAAAAAATTAATTATCTCGTGTCCAATGTTGCTATTGAGAAATTTGATATTAACCTGTTGTTACTCCTTCATAATTTACCCTTTGAAAGCATTTATAATTTTTCTTTATCCCAGATGATCTTAAATTTCTCTATTAAATGTCTTAGATGCGAGTTTTTCCTTTATCTGTACACTGCAGGATTGAGAGGAGAGTGAGAAGCCCAGCTAGGGTGTAAAATTTAAGGAGGCACTCGCTCCCAGGGTCATGCAAGCGCCTCCTTAAAGTTTTGCATCCTTTGTGCCTCATTGCCTCATCTTTCTCCGGCCCCTGCTACCTGTTTGATATTTTGTGAGCTCTTTCACTCTGAGGTGTTTGATCTTTCTTTAATTCTTCGATATATATCATCATCATTTTCTCAAATATTTCCTTCCCTTCCCTCTATTTCTTCTTAGTTCTGGTGTTGATACTTCCACCTTCCATGCCTCTGAACTTTTCTTTAATATATTTCTTTATCCTTTCCTGCTGCCTTCTGGGACAGCTTCTCCGTCTGATTTTCTAGTTCATGATTCTTGTTGTTTAGACCATCTATTTTCTTGTTTCAACTGTTATATTTTTTATTTCTAACATTTTATATTATTCCTTTTTATGACCTGTTCTTGTTCATATTAACAATACCTTCTTCTGTATCTTTGAGGATATTTGTTACGCTTATTTTAAATTCTTGGTATATTGGTTCTGATAATTCTGCTTCACACAGTATATGTTTTAAAATTTTCTGTCTTTTATAGTCAAATTTATGGTAGATCATGTTCCCCTAGGGGAATCAGTAGCCCTCTGCAGGCAAAGGCTGAAGACCAGGGTCTGGTTTGTGTGCCTGCCACGAAATTTAAGGAAAGAAAATGAGGCTCAGGCTGGAGAGCTTCCGGTACCAGAAACCCTATTTTGACCATTGTTAATTACTGTCACTCTACTAGGCTGGTCCTCTAGTCAGGAATCCACCCTACCAGCCTTAAACTGTTTTTTTAAAAAGGCATCACTGAGAGAGGGCAGTATCTTGATGTTTTTAATTCACCAGCATTGATGGTTGCTGGGGGAATGTTGGAGGAAGAAATGCCCAAGGGGGCAACATGTACCCGTTTTCATCAGCTCCTTATCCTGGAGGGACTTCTGTGCTCTTCTGATATGACTGTGTTGACAACAAATGACTAGGCAGTTGCTGCCAGTTTCTGTGGCCCTGGGCAAGCATGATCTTCCCAAGGCAATGTGAGGGAAAGTCAAGAGCAGATTTTAAAAGCTCTCCCCCAACCTATTGTCTCTTGCCTACATCTGACCTTCCTACCCTCCAGCCCAAACTGCAACTAACCCTTCATACCAGCTCACTAAAGCGTTTGGGTTTCTCACAGTTTTTTTTGATAGCTCCGGTTCCTGCTTCCTTCTCCCTTCCATGGTTTCTCCTTTTGTCAGGATACAAAAGAGCTGGCCCTTTGCCAACTTTGAAGACTCCATAATTTGACCATAGCATCCTAGAGACTTCACAAACGCTGCCCTTAATTTTCACAATGCCAAAAGCAAATTATTATTTTCTTCATTTTAGAGAGGAGGAAATAGAAAATTTCAATGAAGTTCAGTGATTTTTTTCAAAGTCACAACTGAGAAATGTGGTAAAGCCAGAATTTGAAAACATGTCTTATTCCCAAATGCATGCTTTGGATATTTCATTACCACCACTTAATTAATACCTAAATTTAGAGCTGCTTCATTCTGTCTATCCACGAAGTTATGAAACTGTGTCCAAACATACTAATGTTCTGTGAGTTGGACCATGATATTCATCAAAAAAAAAAAAAAAAAAAGGTCATATCTTTTCCCACTTGGTGGAAAATAAGTTATGCATAGAATTTTCTCTGTGTCATGCTTATTAAATCTTTGTACTGCCTTTTTCTGTGTTCTAGCAAGTCCTAAAAGAAAGGTAATGATTTAGTAGAAAATGAGTTTTGAGCAGTTGATTGCAATTAGAAATCAAGAAAATGTTAACAGTTAACTTTTTTTATACTGCTAACTGGGAAAAGATTGCCATTTTGTATCATGTATAAGTATTTGAATACTCATCATTCTTGCTAATAAAGTTAGCTTATAACAATGTCTGAATATCAAAGTGAATTTGTGAATGCTTAATAAATGTAAATTTACTAACATTTTTCTTATGTATTCCTCTAATTTTAAAGGTGTGATTTTTAAAAATTAAATTTTTTTAATAGTTAATATATGCATATAGCACAAAATTCAAATGGTACAAAAAGATATACAGTGAAAATTGAATCCACTTCTCCCCACCTCTGTCCTCCAGTCACCCAGTTCTCTTTCCCTACAGTCACCACTGTTACCAGTTTGTTACATAGCATTTTGTAGATATATTAGGTGTACATAAACTCTTACATACTTTTTTTTTTTTTTTTTTTGAGATAGAGTCTCGCTCTGTCACCCAGGCTGGAGTGCAGTGGCACGATCTTGGCTCACTGCAACCTCCGCCTCCCAGGCTCAAGCGATTCTCCAGCCTCAGCCTCCTGCGTAGCTGGGACTACAGGTGTTCACTACCACGCCCCGCTAATTTTTTTTTTTTTTTTTGTATTTTTAGTAGAGACGGGTTTTCGCCATGTTGGCCAGGATGGTCTCAATCTCTTGACCTTGTGATCTGCCCACCTCGGCCTGCCAAAGTGCTGGGATTACAGGCGTGGGCCACTGCGCCCGGCCAAATACATATTTTTTAAGGGAGAAATTTCTGTCCTTGATAGAATTTTACTTCACTAAACTCTTTTTATTGCCAGCAACAGTACTGAAAGTTGCTCCGATTCTTTAAATAACCTTCTCTGCTGAAAGTAAAACTGAGTTTTAAAAATTATTTAACATGTTAAACATACATGGAGCAGAGACCAATATAATGAACTCATATACTCATCAACCAGATTGAAAGATTATTTAAAAGCGATTTTTAAAGGATTTCATACTCTTGCAAATTTTTCAGAACCCCTGTTATTGGGTGAAACGAAAAGAATTATGTGTTCAACTACAACTGCAGCAGCCCTAGAGTCTTCCAATGGATTCCATTAGTGCTAGCTTCAGCATACAATTTCTAGTCCATGGCCATAGCCACTGGCCAAACTATAGATTCAACAGAGAATTTTTCATACTCTTTCTAGTAGTGAAAAGTTAACAAAATATAGTTGTGCTTTCCCTAAAACGTATTGGTATCTGTGTAAAAAGCATATCTAACAGTTTTTTTTTTTTTTTTCTTAATGAGACAAGATCTCTCTTTCACCCAGGCTGAAGAACAGTGGTGCAGTCACGGCTCACTGCAGCCTTGAACTTTTGGGCTCAAGTGATCCTCCCACCTTGGCCTTCCGAATAGCTGGGATTATAGGCACATGCCACCATGCCTGGCTAATTTTTTGTAGAGATGGGGTTTCACCATGTTCCCCAGGCTAATCCTCAAACTCCTTGGCTCAAGCAATCCTCCTGTCTTGGCCTCCCAAGGCATACTGGGATTACAGGAATGAGCCACCATGCCTGACCATATTATTATATTAATATTAATTTTAGTTTTAAAAATTACTAATAATTCCACATGTGGGGCTAATTTGATTATTTTGATTTGGTTACTTTCATGAAGAAAGAATGGTGAATCCATTCTATTTATTATTTAGATGTGTATAAATAATCTTGCATACTTAAAGAATTTAGTTTTGTTACCATATTTTATAAAGCATGAATATTATTAATACTGATTATATTTCCATAAACAAATCTAATTTTTTGTCCTGACTTCACAAAATCTTTTTTTCAGTTCCACTTGCCTGTCCTGGTGCATCAGCAGAACTTCAAAACAATTTTATAGAATATATCTCTTTTATACATCAATATGACGCCAGGAAAACTCCGAATGAGCCTCTCCGGGGAAAGGTGAGACAGTATTTAGATTTATTTAATACTTTAAGACAGAGTAGATTTATAGAACTTTAAGCCTTTTCAAGTCATAATTATCTTTCTAAATGTCTATTTAAACAAACTACTATAGTTATTAATAGGCTAGAATCTTAGCCACATATCATAGGAAAATGTGAGGAATAATACTATCTTGGTATGGTGGTGCCACCTGTAGTCCCAGCTACACAGGTGGGTGAGGTGGGAGGATTGCTTGAGTCCAGGAGTTCAAGGCTGCAATGAGCCATAATTGTACCACTGCATTCCAGCCTGGGTGACACAATGAAACCTCATCTCAATCAATCAGTCCAAACATTTGAATCAGTCTTTGGAATTTGGTCTACTTAAACTATTGAAATAATTTGTATTAAAAAAAAATCAAGGCATGCTGGGTACAGGGACTTGATGCCTGTAGTCCCAGCTACTCTGGAAGCTGAGGTAGGAGGATCACTTGAGTTTGAGGCCAGCCTGGGCAACATAGCAAGGCCCATTTCTAATAATAATAATAATAATAATATCAAAGCAGTTTGACAAATGTTTTGATATGCTTAATACATGTGTGTGGCAGGGAGATGCATATAAGGTTTATAAAGCCAAATAGAAATGTCATTGTCAATTATTGGATTGTTTTCCAACTATAGATGTTTGCTTTCATATTTCATTATTACTAATCTGTTCATTAGCATCAATAGGCATTTGGGATGCAATCATAAATTCTTAGGTCTGTGAACTGTAGTTTTTGTTGTATCCATAGCAATCTTTAGAGCAAGAAATGAAATTTGATGTAAATAGTCTTATACAGTCCAAATGATAAAAAAGTTGAGAATGGGAGATGAGCTGCTGCTTCTTTGATTTTCTGCTTTTTTCCTTCCTGTTCATTTTCTGATGTACCCTATTTTATAATTTAAAAGGTTCACCCATATATGGTGGTGTCTCGTTTGGGACTAAGGTGACACCAGTGAAGAGGCAGAGAAGTGCCTTTGTCACTGACTAGGACTTGAGCTAACCCACAAACTCAGTTCACAGCTGCATCTTCCAGCAATCTGTGTTCTCCTGGTTAATGTCTACTTTGTTTTCTTTTCCAGAGACATGGAGCTTTTGTACACAGAGAGATAAAACCAGGGAGTAGGCCAACAGTTCCTAAAAGAACAGAGGTAGTACTGAATGCTCCAGGGTCACGTTCATCAGAACAGTCCGAAAAAACAGAGAAAGGAAGCTCAGCGGAAAGCAGAATGATCTCACCAGGTCTCTGCCAACAAAATTCCCAAGAGCTGTTAGAGACTAAAACTCACTTATCAGAAACAGACGTCAGACAGGCAGCCAAGGCATGCCCCAGCAGTCCTGAGAGCAGAGAAAAGATCGCAGGCGCCACTCAAACAACTGTAGGAGATGCTCTTTTTCACTAGGCACAAGCCTTTAAATCCACCCATTAAAAAATCAGAATAAATTACCTTCTTCAGATAAAACTATAATCCCTAGAATATGGGGAAATTTCACAATCATCATCTTGGCCCTCACATTTACTTTTCTGTTATCAGTAACTTCAGAACATACAATTTATGTAAATGGAAAAAGAGAAAAAAGACAATTAAAATACAACCAAATGTTATTAATAAGTGTGGTCTCCAATAAGTGGAGACATTATTTCTCTGTCACATTCTTCATAAACACAACTTTGTTTTGCACAACAAATGAACATAATTAACAAATATAAGACTTTTAGAAGAGAGGCCCTGTTAGACGTAAGTGACAGCTTTGGAATCAGAGTTGTAATGTTGGCTTCACTTCATTCCTTAAGCTGTGTGACCTTGGGTAAGTAACTTAACCTCTCTAGACTTCAGTTTTTTCAACTGTAAAATGAGCAAAATAGAAACTTCATAAGATTATTGAGGATGTGATTATGCACATTGATCAATAAGTGGTCAATGTAATCATATCATCACTGCTACTATAATTCAATTTTCAATTTAAGGATAATGTTCTCTTATATATTTAAATTTTCCTCCTTATTCTAAAACTTAGAACTCCTCCATATATAATTAAGAGTGTGAAAATCTAAAAATACTCCTGCCAGTACAAGATGCACACGCAGACACATACACACTTAATTCAAAGACGCGTGGGTACTTAGAATATTGAAGTATTTTCTAAATTGTTTTCTTTTTACTCAGATCATGTCTAACACCAACTCAGCCTTAGTTTTTTGGATGAGTTTGGTAAGGATTAATTCCACCTTGCTTTTTGGATGAGTTTGGTACGGATTAATTCTTCTTTCAATTTGGTGTGTTTTGTGTGCCGCGATGTATTATAAGATATGTTATATCGCATACAAGTGGAAGCAAGTGGAGTATTCCTCTGCTATAAAGAGTGTTTACAAATTTCCATGGGGGAATATCAGCTGCTCACTATTATCTGCAGTATTGATAAGACTACAGCTATATCTTTATCCCTTTATTCTCCATTAAAGAAATTGTAATATATTGCAAAATAATGAATATCATTGTTATATATTTTTTTGTGTTGGGGACTTCTAGTTCTTGCCACATATATATCTCCGATATATATTTTGGAGATCTTTCCTTGTCAACACATGTAGGCTACCTTGTTATTTTAATAGCTCCATAGTCTTCAATAGCATAGGTGTACTACTATAAAATTAGAAAAATAAGAATGCAAGTTTTGGCATGAGGGCAGGGAAGGGAGAGGTTGTTAGCATGTTTGGAAAAATGTCTTAAAACCTAGGGACTTGAATTTTTATCCTCATTGGAACGGATAGAACCTTATGTCTTCCAAAGTAGAAAGATAGAATTGAAATCTGCATAAAGCTAGAACTCTCGAATGACTGGCCTGTCAGTACAAGGCAGACTCCACTCTACTCATATAACCAGGAGGATAGCAAGAAATTTTGCCTCTGCCTGGAGCTATGGATAGTGAATAAACTCTTTGTGAAAAAGTAAAACCCCAAGCTTGTAGCATGCTCCAGTTAGGAATATAAATTTACATGTAAGACTTCTCTTAGGACACAAAACCAAAAAAATCCTGCTGGTGATACCACTGAAGTACCTGACAAAAGCAAATGCAAAACCCCCCTGGAGAGACAGGTTCACGATCAGCACAAAAAAAGGAATCCCTGCTAAAGATAGCCCCAAACAAAAATTGCAAATCACACCAAGAAGAAAACCAAACTGAGCAAGAGTCTGCAGTACAAAAGAATAACTGTAATTTCAAAACTGGAGATAAAAGAATTAAAACATATAATTTCAAAACTGGAGATAAAAGCATTAAAACACTTTCAGTTTGAAAATCCTTGGTTTTTTTTTTAACCTTAGAAAATTTTATTATGTTGCCTTTTCTGTTATTTCCATCCCTTCCATTCTTTCTCTTCCCTCTTTCTGGAACAGCTGTTAGCTGAATGTTAGAACACTTGGATCTGTCATCTGTGTCTCTCTGTCTGTGTGTGTGTGTATGTGTGGTGTTTGGTTTTGAGACACTCTTCTCCAGAGCCAGGCTGGAGTGCAGTGGCTTGATCTTGGCTCACTGCAGTCTCCACCTCCCAGGTTCAAGCAATCCTCCAGCCTCAGCGTCCAGAGTGCTGGGATTACAGGTGTACACCACCACACCTGGCTGATTTTTGTATTTTTAGTATAGGCAGGGTTTTGCCATGTTGGCCAGGCTGTTCTCAAACTCCTGAGCTCAATTGATCCGCCTACCTCAGCCTCCCACAGTGCTGGGATTACAGGCATGAGCCACCGTGCCTGGCTGTCATTATCTTTCTCATGGTACTTCACCACTAAGTAATGCAAGAATTCCCTGACACTTTCTACTAATTTGCTTTTCAGCCTTGTCCATTGGTATGCCAGACCATTTGATGAAACTTAGTATTTGACCATCTATTAAACTTGGTATATATTTAATGTCCAATCTGTACATGTTCCCTCAATACCTGACTCTTCCTCTATTATGGATATGATCATCTCTCTTAGGATATTGTAGTTATGCCTAAAATGTTTTGTTTGCTCTCTCAATTCTATTAACTTTTGTCTGTTGAGTGTAAACCTCACACTCTGGGTATTGTACCTTTTCCCAAATGCTTTGGGTCTCTCCTTTTATTGTCTACTCTCCTTTTATTGTAAGGTTTCCAGGTTATTATCAGTATAAAATGTTTCTGTTGACTATAGCCTGACTTTGGGACAAGTTTGGGATGTAAACAGGATCTGAAGATGATTTGTCTGATGAGCTCTTTGGTCTTCCTGGGGGTCGGTAACTACTTGGGCATTACCCTCCTTCTCCAGCCCGAGTCTATGATTTGATTTCATGCCACAGTTACCCTGGCTTAACACAGCAGGAGAAGAGAAGGGGGATGACTGGTTTGCTGCTCCACATGCAGTTCCCTAATTTTTCAAGTTGATAAATGGCCTAGGGCCTCTTCTACCTCTTCATATTCATTGACTCTAGGCTTGTAGTTCTATCAGACCTACCATCAGGTCATCTCTACATGTTAGGCTTTTGTTTCCTTTAGTTTTGTTCTTCCAAACATGAGTTCTTTGGTAATATCTTTCAAAATTTATTTTAAAATATATTTTTTTCTGATAAGTTTCCCTGTTTTCTAATTCTATTAAAATGGATTTCATTATCTATATTGATCTACATTCATTTTATGGACTTTAGAGGGCAACAGGGAGCAGCTGTGTATGATCAGTCCACCAGCTTGAGTCAATCTCTAATTTTCTTTCTAAATCATTTGCAAACTCAGTACTTTAACCATTAGGAAATAACACATTCTCTGCAACAGACTTCATAGTTGACTGACAAATGTCACTGAAGACTGACACAGTCCTTGTGTCCTCCACATAATTTAGTTAGAGGAGAACGGTCTGGGGTCATACAGCCCAGTTAGTGGTTCCTACCACAGGCTAGGTTGGTTCTCAATCTTTTCAAATATAAAGGCATCTTTTCTTTATTAAAGTAAAAAGTTTATG